CAGCGCTGCTGCGCCCTGTCCTGTCCTGTCCTGTCCTGTCCTGCCCTGTCCTGCCCTGTCCTGCCGTGCAGCCCTGGGCCGCAGCCTAACCCTGCCCCTAACAGGCAGCGCTGAGACGGCACTCAGGAGTCTCAAGCATCTTTTAGAAGGAAGGTTCCTCACAGTATACATGTAAAAATGGATGCTGGTTGCTTAACACGCTTTAGAAGTAAAATAACTGATGAAATACACCATCAAGTACACCCTTATGCAGCTTAAGGAGAATGCTGAGGTGTATCGTAAATACGAGTCTCCAAGGCGTTATGGTAGCAGAGCTGCTGTTTATGGCTGAAGTCAGAGTACCCTGTTTCCAGTGAGGAAAAGTGCTTGGTGTCAGTTTTAGGAGCAGAGCACAGCAGAATAATGATGTCACGGATCCCCTACCAGCCCCCGCGTGTCCCACTGCTCACCGTGCTCTGCTGTTCAGATCTGCTTTCCAGGGCTTTGCAAAGCTGTTTTACCAGCAGCTGGAAGTCCCATGTGTCCCTATGTTCCTCACTTTTCTGCTCATCTCAGTGGTGTCACAGGCATTTCGCAGGTACCACTTCTCAATTTTTCCCTCCTTTATTTAATTTGACATATTGTCAAATTTAGAATAGCAGAAGACTTCAACAATAAGCTTTATGATGGTTTCATGTGACTTATAGAATTAGGGAAAAGTAACCTCTGTTTAAAAGCGACTGTAATGTGAAATGTTCACTGTTCAACATTCATGTGTAAACCAAGTCTTAACAATCTGTCTCTGTATTCCTTTCCTCATATTTAATAAAAACCTTATTTTTTTAATTCATTACCCCACAAATCACTTGTGATGAAGATGAATGCCAGTACTGGGAACCCAAGTCTGTTTTTCCCCCAGTGACGAAGGAAAAGCAGCTGCTCCCACCTTTCTGAGAAGGGGTGGCTGGGAAGGACAGTCATGTGGTGAATGCAGCCACGCACGAACAGGCAGCAATGGAGGGGAGGCCGATGAAAGCTGTATTAGGTCCTGAAGCTGAGGATTAAATGAGATAATAAAACCGAAGGGCAGAAGATGCTGTTTAAACATAATTTGCACTATAGCAGCTGAAGCAGCACAGAGCAGAGACCGCAGCTCCCTGTACCACTGGAACATTTCATTTCTCTGAAGAAAAAAAGTTAGCTCCTAGATTTTAGGAGCTATCAATACCCACCACCAAATGAAACATATTTATAATGGTTCATAATTGAGGGCTCTTGGTGTTCCCCACGAGAGAAAACAGACTTGGATGTTCCTTTCAGGCTTCTTTGTGAAAAAGTAAAATTAACATTAAATTTTGTACTTGTGTTGGTTAGGCACCATAGTTGTGTTTGAACTTTTATCAGATAAATGAGATAAGCTACCCATGTTATCCTAGCTATCCAGGGAAGCAAGAAGCCACTTCCCGTGGTACAATGTAGCGGATCTGAAAGATAGCACAGTGCAGTATTAGGTCAGGGAAGTTGGACAGTACACCGCTCCTGAACCACCCTCTTCAGCCACACGCCCCGGAGGACTGACCAGCTGTTGACCAGCTAATACCACAGCTCAGCTCTGCTTTTGTTTGAAAGGTTGCAAGTAGCTACACCTCCATGTGGTCCACTGGGTCAGTGTGTCAGAAACATGGATTCTCCAAACAATCTCCTCCATACTGGCAGCAACCTGTTTCAATTTTCCTAAAAATCTGAAGTGTAAGGCATTTTTTCCCACCCTGGTCTTTTAGGGAATATTCATTAGGAATAAGGTTTGAATTTCTCTCTTTTAAGTAGCATTTTATTTTAAATTGCTCACAGTGCAAATTAGCTATGTACATATGTATATAATACACGTGTATATGAAATGTACATATAAGCTATGAAACTACAGCTCAGGGAAGGGAGTCTCAGAAGATTTCTCTTGTACTGTTTTCCCTTTGTTTTTTTCCCACCCCTGTGGAAACTGATGAAAGATAAGCCTTGTACTTTAGGTTCCCTCAGTCCTGCCCTTTATCAGGTTGGTCCTTCCCTCCCATTCTTCATTCTTTGCACTTTGATTTACTTCAGTCTTTCGTATATTAGCAAAAGAGCCCATCAAAACAAATGAAAAACTCTGATAACTATTAAAACCAAAACTGCAGGTTCCCTCCTGACATTGAAGGCTGTTCATCTATTGGCCTTAACGTGCACTGGATAACAAGTTCCCAGTGAAGAGAGAAGCTAAACTGGCTTGAGCCTCTCACTTGGAATCATAGAATCATAGAATCATTAAGGTTGGAAAAGACCTCAAGGATCATCAAGTCCAACCCAACACCACCTAACTCACTAAACCATGTCCCTAAGCACCACATCTACACTTGTCTGCCTACATACATAAAGACAGGGGCTTTAGATTTCTCCAGCAAAAATAAGCCACTGAAGCAGAGTGAAGGCAATTTTTTTGTTTCCCGTGTCCTCTGCATCACAGAGAGAGCTGCTCCAGCATTGTGTACCAGATGCTTTTCTGTAGTTTAACTCAGAAAAAGGAACTTTCGAAAACTCCCTCCAGAACACTAGAATATTAGCAGATTAATGCAAAAGGAGCACAGGTTTAAAAAACTTTTTAATTTCTGTTTGATCTGCATTTCAAAACAATTCAAATATGTTCCATTTACTGTAAAAAAAGAGAAGCAAATGTTTCCGAAATTTAATGCCAAGTTTAACCTGTTTCACTATACAGCACAAGCTTGCCAATTTGATGGCATAAAGTTTTTTTTTAAAAAAAAAAGAAAACACCCCCTAAAACTCTTTATTAACCTTTCATGCCAGAAATGTGCATTTTAGCTACATTTGACTACGGACGGTACATTAATCCATCCAGCAGAAGTAACATCTGGACAGAGGTCAGGTAAACTCTACGCTTTCTCATAATGGCGAACAGCAACCACATCACCAAAGGTGAGAGTCTGCAAGTCCAAGGAAAAGACAGACACGTTAGATGCTGGACCATTTTTTGTAATGACTTAACACATATTCAGAAGTCCATGCTAAAGCAAGGTTGTTTTATATAATGTCATTTATCAAAAAACAAGTTGGTCTCGATTATTGGTATTTTAAATGAACAAGAGGCAAAACCTCAACGTCATAGATCCCATAATAAATGCAACTTTCTCCTTGCTACATTCAAACCCAAGAAGCACATAATGCACATGTACAAGCCAAATAAAGTGAGACTATAAATTAATTTTTCTAATTTTGTGAAAGTAATTTCTTAAATACAGCATTGTTTTTATACAGATTTAACACTTATTTTCTCAAAGCTGATCACATTGCAAAATGTGCAATCTAAAATCCAAGTCCTCTATACCCATATTCTATACTATTATGCGTAGGCATATACTTAAGGAGAACCTTCGATTACAGTAAATACATCCTGTGCACTTACATAGCTGGAACTACCAAATTTTTTAGTTACTGCAGTTGTGCAGAACACTGACTACCGTGTGTGAGCTTTGGAGGTATTTCCTGAAGTGGAACAGGGCATTTCACCATGTTCAAATTCCAAAGGAAAAGCTTTTCTGTATATATGTGTAGCTGTTTCCAAAAACAAAGCATGTATTTTTCCTTGAATCGCTTGTCACATTGTTTTGCACTGACCGTATGCTTTAAGGTTTTAATTATTTGAAGGTCTCCATCCACACAGATACTCTCTGAAGCATTTAGAAAACAAGCTAACTGGTTTTCTCCAACAGCCAAGTCACATCAATTAGTAGAGCCAAAAAGGTTTTATTTTTGAAAGTTACATCTCTGTGTCAAAAATAAGCATGCTAAGTGCCACCCTGGACATTAGATATAGTAGCTTACACCATTTATTTACTTCATACTCCTGTTCCTGAGAAGTCAGGAAAAGAATGTGAATTAAAAAAAAATTTTTTCTTCATGCAATTGCTGTTTATCATCACTTCTAACAAGATAGGAGGAATAAACCCTTTACTATTAAATACGAAAATGCTGTTACATCCTGCAATATTATAATTTTATTTTCCTAGGGAAATACTTGTTCTGTATAATTAGATATTATTTATGCATGCACCTATAAAACAAGTTTTTAAAGAAATCTGAAGCAGCACTGGTAACAGATCATTGCCTAGACAATCAAGAACTTTGTATCTTTTCCAGCTCACCCGGACTTTTTTTTTTTTTTTTTTTTGCTTGGGCATTTACACAAACTCTAGAAAGAACATATACACTCTGGAAATCCACAGACTGGCCTGCCTAAAATGACTAGCAATTTTTTAGTTGTCAGTAAAACAAGATGCAAAACAAAATAAATATTTAAAAAATCTCTGCTAGCTTTCCCCACCAATTAGTTTAAGGGTTTGTGTATAAGTGACACTATCTGTTCATAAAGCTTGAAATAAATGCTAAGTGAGGAGTTTTAAAGGTGTATGTGACTGCTCAGTGAGCTTTATACTTACCATTACCATTTTGCCATCCTTTATTTCTCTCACAAAGTTTGTCTCTTTGCCGTCCCACTTCTGTATGTGCACTAGCTTGTCTCCATCCAGGCTCACAACTGACTGTGAGATACCAAGAAACACAAAGACATTAATTTATTTGGGGTATTTGGGATTCTGCTCACACATTCGGCATGCACTGTTCTATTGAATTATCTTCAATAGATGGATGTGGATCTAGAATGATAAAGTAGTCACAGCCATTTTAAAGCCAAGCCCATGAATCATCCTCATTTTAAGCATGAACTCCGTACAATTCTTGTGTCGAAGGATGAAAAAAGTTGTTTCCTTTGAGTTACAGTCTCGCAAGAACCACTGTTTCAGATGTGCTTTGGGATAATGTTTATGTTAAACCCCCAAAGATGCTGGGAAGAAGGTACTTCCTAATTTTCGACTGGAAAAAGTTATGGCAAATGATACTTGTGTTGAAGGAAAAGTGGGCAGCTAACACAACTCTTCGACACTGGAAGGCAGACTGGGCTGGCAACATAACACATTCTTCAGACAACACATGGCAAAAGCGGGCAATTAAGATGCAATCTTGTCTTTTTTCCTGTCCTTCACAGTGCTACAACTGACCATAGCAGAAGTTACATTTTTTCTTTCCCCCTACCGAAGATACAGCCTCGGGGGCAGGGAGGAAGAAGAGAAAAAAGAAGCTGCTGCAGCCTGAGAGTTGACTTACTTTGCAGTTCCTGTCATCGGGGGTGGTTTCGTCAAATTCCTCTCCAAGTTTAAAGCTGATTTCTGTGTTTTTGAAAGTGCTTTGAGTCCTGATCACTACTTTGTCCCCCTCGCTGCTGATAATCACAGTGGGTTTAGTTACATTCCCCACCTGCCGAGTTGCAAACCCCACTCCTATACCATCAAGGGAAGAGAGAAATCCATCAAATATTCGGG